GCTAGAATTGCACAGCTAGCTGTAGAATAAAACATGTAAGCCTCTTAAAAAGGCTTTTTGACACTGCCAGCCTGATAGGTCTTTTATCAGCGTATTTATTTCTGTGTGTATTTATTTAAACAGAGAGATGGATTTTAAAGATATTGTTCAGCCCCAGAATAAATAAAAAAAGGAAGCTGTGGTTTCAAAAGGCTGTGTAAAGTCCTTACTAGAGGAGAGAGAGGACCTCAAAGTTCTAAAGTTCTCAAGTGTCCATTCTCAGTGTTGTAGGTGCAGGTACCATAACTATGCTGGTGGCAGATACAGCCTGCAAAACATCAGGGTGGGAGACCGTGTTCCTGAGGTTCAGTTCTTCCAGTCTGCCGCTTCAAGAGCACTTCTTCAACAAGTTGCAGGTGTACAATGGTGAAACTGCAACAATGGGATTGTGTGTGGAAAGAAAGAATTCAGGGATATGATGAGAGCTATGTATCTGTATATAGATTCATCCTGCAGACATGAGTAAAGTGACTGGATTGCTTTTGGTGTTAGAGATGATCTTAACTAAGGTGAAAAGAATGAAAACAGTAACAAAGATTGATGCCTTATCAAAAAGAGGTACAATTAAAGAGACAATGGTTATTTTATAAGAAGTTTCAACACAGTTTTGTAATCTCTTTGTAGTACCACTTTTCAATATTTTATGAAATAAATATTCATATTTATGAAGTTATGAAATTCTGCTGCAAGTTCTATGGGATTGTTATTTGGATGTTTGATTTAGGAAACAGAGGTAACACACAGAAACATAATGCATAGCAGCAAAGTAGTTTCTTTAATAGCAGATTGCCTCTGTTGCAGGTATCTTAACTTCCCAGATCTGGTTAATGTTCTTGGTAGTGTTTCTAGCTTTTTAATAGTTTCTATCTCGCTTCTGCCATTTTATGCGAAGTACAGTAAATGGGTGAGAAATTAAGTAAATACCCAAGGGGGGATCAAAATAATTTATACTATGCCACAGACATTTCAAGTCTTGCAGTCTCTGAGCAACCACTTGCTGAGCTAAGTAGCTCAAAATGGTAAAGTATACCCCATAAATCAGAAATACAAGTCAGAGTTTCTGAAAAAACATTATTTTGCCAATGTTTTTATTAAAAACAGTACAAAATATGTAGTTTAACATAGGCCTTTTTCAGCCTTCAAGGAATTTGAGGATTTTGATAAAACAAACTTCATTTAAATGGACAAGTGGTGTACTTAGAAAGATATATCGTTATCAGGCTTTCTAATAATGGTAATGGTATGTATGCAAAAAACTTTGCATAAACCCAAGAATTTACCAGGCATCTGAAACTATATGAAACTATATATTTGTTTTAGAGGAATATATGTCAACTGTGTATGCATATGGAATTAGTGATCACCAGAGGCAAAGAATGAACAGGCTTAGAAATCAAAATCTTCCCTTTATCTATGGAATGGATATATAGAATGTTGCTGTATAATATTGTATTTCACACTGAGCCTCAAGGCCATTATCTCTAGGAATGAGTGAGACAGTGCATTCCCCATATCTCAGACTCTGATGAAGCAGCAAATTTGTGCCAGTTAAGGTGTTGGCTTTTTTATGATGTGAATGCATCCGGTAGAAATGAAGCCTACAAATTAGCCTTTTCTTAGGCCAGTGAATAATTGTTACAGGGTAACAATTTTAGCTTATTATTCCAGACTTTAATTTTTTTATGAATGGCACCTACAAATAAGGTTTCTACGTGTAATAAATGCAGATACCATGTCCTTTGATTTGAATACTAGCTTGTTCACAGTTATTTATTTGACTGATAGAAAACATGAACCTCACAATTGCAAGACGGCAACGAAATGATGTTTATTCTGCTTAGTTTCATGCCGTGTGGCTTGTGCCTGCTAATAGCTGACCATCTAGCTACAAGCGTGTAAGAGGATGGGTATGAAAGAAATGATAAAATCAGGAATGTGATTCAAGTACCATTTCGGCTAGAAAGTCTAGAAATTTTAAATGCTTTGTGGTTCTAACAGTAATGCTGATTTCATTACTACTGTACCTCAATTCAGCGGAGAGAAAAGCTTCTGAAGTTAAGATTACCCACAGGATTTGTAAACCAGATTGATGGAAGTAATTGGTAAACTGCTTAATCAAGCCTTGCTTGGAGGTGAATAAGGGCTGCAGGATAGAAAATGTAGGCTGTATAAGTAACCCAACAAGTCAGTAGAGTTCTTTTTTCTGAAAGAAACAAAGATAGCAGTAATTAATGACCCTGACTCTGTGCCAAAAAAGCTTTCTTCTGACAACTCCAACTTAATTAAAACTTAAGACATTTCAATGGCCTCAGAAAGCCCCTGATGGGGTGAACTCTTGCAAACTCGTGAGAAAATTCTGTAAATTAAAGGAAAAGATGTGTGTTACCACTGGTGCCATGACTCTAATCCCTGGCAGTCAAAGAATCTATTTAGCCAAAGCCTTTTCTTTTAACTGGCTCAC